CTTAAATTTTTACTAATAAAAAAATGGTAAATAAATAATATTTTTATTAATTTAAATATAACTCATCAATTATAATAAAAATTTAAATCATATTGATTATACTATTGTTCAAAAAATACAATTTATTGTTATTTCAATAAGTTTTCATTAAAGATTGACCATGTTTTGTCATATTCAAACATCAAACAATCTAAATAAACAGTTTTATCTATTTTAATTTAAGTGTTTGAGTTTTTGTCTGTAAATTTTAGATGAACTATACTTCAACAAATAATATCAATGATTTCTGATGTTTTCAAACACAAAAAAAACTTTTCTAATTTTGGGAGTTGTCTTTTCATAGATATTTGTTATTAAATAAATGAAATTAAACAAGAGAAAATGCCTAAACAAGGCAGCTTATCGATAATACCTTTTTATTGTGATAAAAACAATTGTTATAAACCAAATCGAGCATATTAAACTAAAACCACAAAAATAATTTAGTAATAAAATCATGTTGAATTCAATCACTTTAAAACATTTAAAGAAATGATCAAAAAATGTCAGACTTGGAGTACAACTTTCATGTATTGAGGGTCTAAACTAGACTTTGTTAATAAGCATTAGTATTTTAGTTATCAAAAAATACAATCAAACAGACAACTCTTCATTATTATGGCCAAGACTATTTTCGCAAACAATTCCCGTTAGAAAGCTAGAATTCACACTATTAATAAACTAATTACATTAATTGTTATGATATGCATTTTATAAATATTTTTACCCAAACAAACAAACACAAACATAATTATTAACACTAAAATCAATAATGCCCAATAAAGTCATTTACATTCATTAGAATTAACTCAGTAAAACAACTGTTTTAAAGTTATAAAGAAATGGACTTGTTGGATACTATATATAATATTGAACATGGAAACAGTCAAGCTCCATTATTACATTCACCATTTCTTTTCTTCTTCAATTGAGTATTCAGAGTCTGATATAGATTATTTCATTGAATGCACAAAACAAGTCAAGACACTTCAAATTGTTTCAAAATTGATAACCAAAAAATTGTCTTCAAGAAGCTATTTGGATGTAATAAAGGCGTTGTTGCTCTTTCAAATTCTTGTAAGAAAAGGTCCATTTGATGTAAATACTACATTCATAACATTAGAAGTGGATGTAGATCATATTGGTTATTCATCACACACACAAGAAGATATTCTACTTTCCATTTGGATAAACAAGTACTCTGATATACTAACTTCTATACACCAATTCCACTTAAAGTACCCTCTCTTCAATGGAAAATGTGAAGTACAAAAAGGTTCAAACGTCCCTTCCAATTACAGAAACTCTAAAAGCATCGAAAAGATGTGCGAAGACACTTACTTCCTTTTCAAGACGATTTCGTCTTTTGTTGATTATTATATAGAAAAACCTATAGAAAACATAATTATTCAAAAAGCAGTGAATACGTGTCTTAAACAAATGGTCGACTTGTTCTTACTCTTAAATGAACTCGAAGTCTATCTTGCCATTTTATCAAACAAAAAGTTCGACAAAAGCGACATGAAAAATCTCAAGGTGATAATAGAAAGTGACACCAGCAAACTTTGTCGTTCATTCGCATTATTTGTAAAACCACTCGATTCCGACTTGAAAATTTTGGGGAAAAAAAATTTGACGTCAAAAATGTTTTTTACAAAATACCCTCTTCCTCTAGAACGTATTTTTTTAAATAACAAGTAAAAAATTGGTACTTTTGTTGTTAATTGAGTTATTTGTTTAATTAAATTGTTGTTATATATTAAATTATTGTTCGATTTTATATTCTGTTAAAAAATTTATGAAAAACAAATTCTATTGATAATAATTAATTATATTATTAAATATAGAATTTGTTAATAAACAAAAATGATCAATTAATGTGGTTTAAACTGTTTGTGCAACCTTTCAAAATCACTCTCTTCTTGTGGTTTGGGGGTCTTTTTACCCTTTTTGAATACGTATCCTTGTTTTGGTAAAATTGCGTTTTTAGCTATTTTTTCGATTAAAAGACTCATGGAGAACATCGCTTTGTTTAAGGGGAGAAAGTCCTCAAATCCTCTGTGAACTCTGAGATTACCAAAAAGAGTGTTGTATTTATTCAAATATGAAAGAACTGACATTACAACAATTTCTTGATCACGCTTTTTGTGTTTTGAAGTGAACATTTGGCCTCTGATTTTTTTGATATAAACATTCATTTTGGAACATAAGTCGATAATATCATCAGATACAGGCTTTAAATCAAGTTTGGTTGTGGAAAGTAACCAAATTCCGATTTTTTCCATTGAACATTGTGGTGTTTTTAAACAATGGTCTAACAAATCTCTTGAGTTTGAATCCACACTAAAAATGTTTTGCAATTTGACTAAAATGTGTTTGAATTTTCGGTCATTCTTGCTCTCCATTGTTGCCATCACGATTTGACCCAAAAAGGTGTTTTGATTCATTTTGAATTCTTCGAGTAAACTGATTGCACCAGGGGTGATGTGTTCGTTTGGAGAACCATTTTCGTAATTCGTACCTTTGACAAAACATAACAATAACAAGTGGATAAAGAGGATCATTAATATAATTGAAATTACAAGTTTTTTTTCATATTAATAAGTTGTTTCATAGTTTGTTATCTATTTTTGTCGTTACTGTTTCTTGAATTACAAGTGTGACCTCTATAACACATAATGGGATTTTATTATAGTTTGATATAAACATACTTGTTTTTCTTCTTTATTAACTTCTTTTTAAATATAAAAACATATTTTATGATCATTTTATTTTGTTGAACAAATTATACCTAATTTGTTAGATAAAATACGTTTTTCGAAAATAATAACCTCTTGATATAAACCTCTTTTTTAAAATGTTGGCGTTGTTGAAAATACAAAAATGTTTGCAACATTATCAATTTGAATGAAAATTAAATGTTTAGATATTAAATGAATATGATAATTTTATTTTGATTTTTTTGAATTGGATTTTAGTGATTGAAGATGAATAAACAATGGAAATGATTTTACTAATATAAAATAATACAATTTAATTTATAAATTATTTGTTGTTTTTTTATTTTGGGATTAAAAAACCAACTGTTCATCACTTTTATTTAATATTTTTTAATTCAATTTTTATTTTAATGAAGTCTTGCCATTTTATTCATTTTAATTATTGTTGTAAAAAAACCTCATGCATAATGGTGTATATAAAAACCAAACATTCAATATAAATTTATTTAAAACAAAGACATTTAATTTGACGAATATTAATAATATAATATTTAAACTTTATATTTTTGAAAAATGTTTTTATGTTGTTAAAACAAAAAGAGTAAGTCGATGTAAAATGAACAAATTATTATCAAATAAATCAATTTGAACATCATACTACAATTGTAATTATTATCAATTTATT